GCACCGCGAGCCTAAGCTCATGCCTTAAGGGGCTTCGCTGGCTTTTAATCCGAAATTATTTTCTTGTCGCGAGCTTATCGATGCGTAATCTTATCGTAATCGATGCCTCGAATCCAGTATTTCGGTCGTGTTTTTTCTTTAACAAGTCGAAACTCAACCACGACGTTGTTCTATAATGACGTTTGAACTGCTATTGTGGTCTGTTTTATAAAAGATGCACGTACGTTCAAACAACATTAGAACATTACATAATACACATACGCTTATATCATCAATTGAGACGAGGGACAGATTTTTTGTTTTTGTTTTTTTGTTTTGTTTTGTTTTTTACTCAATTATCTGTATGAACTTATTGTTTATTTATAGCGTCTTGGTTAGTGTTTATTGTGCCGATATATATTTTGAGCTAAATATTTAGTTCTATCTCAGAATTTTTGAAATAAACTATTTTCAAAATTTATAACGGGCATTAACTTTAATATTTTTAATATTTTCTTTGATTTTTATTGTTCATATTTTGTACGTGGTCAAGGAAAATGTTGTCGAAAATGTACATGCGCATCAAAATATTCATTATTATTAATAAAGAGGTCATAAATTATTACTGCCTCGCTCAATTTGTATGTTCATAATTCAATTCTAAATATATGTAAGCCTGAAAATGTGCATAAAATGAATGAAAAGAATGGCTAATAAATGTTTTATCTAATACTATTATTATAAGAAAATCAATAACTTTGGACAATAAGAATATTATGAGGCAAGAGTAAGTTTGAAATACGAGTAATAAAACTATAACTTATGTGCATTAAAATAATGTAGATGTTTTGGACTTGCGATTGCTAATGTAATTAATATCTGCAAGATTTTTATGATGACTTGAAGATATAAAATAAGGATGAGAATCATGTAATAAGTGCAATTCATATACACACAAAGTATAAACTATACTAGTGCACACACAGTATTTAAGACTTGCGAAAATTATGTTCACATATTCATTTGATTAATTAAAGCAGCGTGCACTTCCAAATAGCAGTGATGATTACAGTCGCCAATGATAGGCAAACATTTTGCAAAGATAGATGATATATCGAATCTGTATTATTTTGCAACATAAGAACGAACATAAGTTCTTAAAGTGAGGGAGAGTGGAGAAAGGAGAATTCTTGTTTTTTATTTGCAGTAGACTTGAACTGGTAGTCGTAACAATTGTACTGAAGGTCAGCCTTGGGCAAGAATTTGGCATCGAAAGATGCTCAAAAGGTAGCTCGTTAGTAGAGCTTTGATCGGTTCATTAAGAGCATGTAAGCGTGAAAATGAGCAGGCAAGTTTTGCGTGACCATGCGGTAATGAGCTGATAAACTTCTTTTGAATTGAAATATTGATAGTGACTGAACATCGTGCGTTCCAGTCTTTTTGCGCTCAACACATTCATTTATTTTACCTCGCGCTGCGTTGGTGGTTAGTCAAGGGATATTGATGATTCTCTTTTATTACTTTCAAACTGTATGAAAGTAATATAAACATATGGCGTAGCGAAGGTTTTCAGTATCGCTCTAGTGGCTCGCATTTTACCTGGCAGGATGTTCGGTAATTACAATACAAATAACAAAATGAACATTAAGCGGTTGAATAACAGATATTGGTTTTGTAAAGGAATTACTTTGTTTTCTTTAGTATGACTAACTTTTATTTATAAACTTTTAATATATTCTTTCTCGTATTTATTTTTCATTAAATAGAATACATTATCGGATCATTTTTATAGGAAGATTGTGTGAATTTAAAAAAATATTATTTGTATTCTTCAATTTTGAAAAAGATGGAATTTTCAATATATTTTTTCGTTATATTTATAAAGATCTTTAGATCTATTATCTAAATCATTAGTATCATGCAATGTAATTTGGAAATTCTCTTTCCCGTATTATCGTGATATATTTCTACTTGCACTTAAGCATACTAATTTACTGTTAGATTTTGTGAAAAAACTCAACCCACGGTTATTGAAGCCACTAAAAATGGAAATATGAAGAAGGGAGATGGTACTGAACTCCGAGCATTTGTTCCAGATTAGGTAACAACGCATTTGAACAGCTGCCAGACCGTTGAGTGTGCTGACTCATTAGGCAAGGGCATTTTTTATCATTATGATCCGCGCGCAAAAGGCTCAATTGGCACTTCCTCTACCCCCTGTGCTTAAGTCGTATACAAGGGCAGTCGGCTCAATGCGCAAAATAGGGAATGGCCCGGTCACACTTCTCGCTGTTTCGACGCGGGCGATTCGTCCACCAAACGAATAAATCACTTCTGACAGGATAAGGCTCGAGACTAGCCGTATACACAAGAGCAGATTTTGTTCATCGTCGTTACCATCACCACCGCCCTCGCACACGCCATTAAGTCGTTGCGTGCTTTTATAACAAGAAGATAAGATGAAGAAAAAGAAGTTAAAAAGATTAAAAAGAGGAAGAAGAAAAAGAAGAGGAAGAAAACAGAGAGAGAGAGAGAGAGAGAGAGAGAGAGAGACAGAGAGACAGAGAGAAAGAGAGACGAGTGGGTACAATTCGTTTGTGATGCTAATTTCAGAATTTTTTATAAGTTCGAAAAGAAAACGTTGCAAGGGTAAAGTGCCAGCTTAAATAGTCGTCGATTTGTTTTGTAAAAGTAGGTAAATAGATATTTGATACAGCTAGAAACGAGTTGCTTACAATAAATATTTGTAAGATCTTTCTTCCAAATGCTTAAGCTGACTGTACTTTTTATACAAATATTTTAAAAATAAAATTGCTAATGAAGTAAATTAATCTACAATATAGATGCTATCTTATTGTAATCACTCTGTAAATAATTTTGTATATATATTACATTCTTTATTTTTCTGAAATTAACATTATGAAGATTTCTACGTAGACATAGATATATTACAGGAATTTAAAAGAATGATTAATAATTTGCTCGATGATCAACGATGTCTCCGTTTAAAGTGTAAAATAGGAATGTAAGCTCGTAATATTATTAATTTCAGCTATAAATTTTCAGCAAACAAGAAAAATACAATCTATCTCGTTGTAGCTTACTTTCTGTTTACAGAAGTAATACATGATATGACTAAATAAATTAATATGGATAATTAATTCTGCATTAATTGCAATTATGATTAATGATTAATTATATTTTTGTTATTTATTTAAAACTTTAATTGGCCTTCAAAATCAATTTTTAATTAATCGATTTCGCTTTTGCAACGATTAAATCTTCTTCATTAAGTAATATGTCTTTGACATAACAATAGCCATTACGTACATTATATTGTATTTCATTATATAATTGAGAATACAATATATAATTTATATATATATATATATATAATATCTTGTAATGTACATTTATTGATAAATTTTTTATTTTATTTTGGTTTATTTTATATTTTTAGTTATCTATATAAAGAGGTATTTATGAAAAAAATTCAGTATGATGAAATTTTAGCATTCGAATTTTGTTAAATTAGCTTGTATATTTAAAATTTATAATGGTTATATTATTTAGGTATATTTCAGAGTTACAATAATATATCAACAACGTGCACCAAACTTCAATTTCTACAAATTTAATTATAAATATTAAAAAAAAAGCAAATATGTTGTGCAGAGTTCATAAACTAAAAATTTAATTTTAATTAAATAATATGTGTTCTATCATTCCTGAATGATTATATACGGGAACTCATAAAGAATAGCATTTAAAGTATTTATAAAACTGTAGATAGGCTAATATAGTGATGCTTTATATAGTTGTGATAATTATTCTACAATATTCCTATGGATCTGTTTAGAAATAATACATTCGTTGGCCGCTTCTTGCCTGGCAATAATAAAATTCTCGATTGAAAGTTATAAAATGGAAAGAATTACGTTTATTGAAACTACATGAACTTCCTTCTAAATCATCCACAGTTTTCTAATATTTCGATTAGTAATATATTTTTTTATCAAAGCATTAACAAAAGAAATTCAGCCATGTATTCATCAGAGTATAATCTAATGGAAAAGCAAGCGATGGCCTAGTCGATGCTTAACGACTAGATCGACAAAATAGATAACCGTATACAAGGGCACCCAAGATAATAATAGTGAAAAAGAAGAAAAGGTAGGCTCTATGGGTGTAAGCCATGACTTGGGGTGCGAAAAATCGTCGAGGGATGTAGAGTTTCATAAGAGCGGGATGAATCGTACGAGGGGCATTTTCCGGGCATCACGAGCTCGTAAATCAGGGTTGAAATCTCAAAGTCGGTTATGACTCGAATTTGTCGAAGGCCGTGTCGAAAGGGGCCGTGGGCCGAAGGTGCCTTCAATGAGCAGATACCAGAGGCCTTGCGAATTGCACAACAAAGAAACTGTGCAGAACGCTCTTGGCCAGATTGATTGCGCCATTAGAGTCGCGTGTGCGCGCTTTTTATTTCGCCTTGCTAAGAAAAGTATGCGGGGACGTTGAGAAAGTGGCTTGCACGGCTCGCTATTCACAAAGCTGAAAAGGTTAATGAGCGACAGGAGTTGGTGAATACGAGCGACATGCTGAAACAGCACGTGATTGTTAATTATTGATCGAGCTTTTGTTTCCGAACCTCCTTGGATTCCCAATCGCATCAAATGCACGTAAGTCGTAGAAACGTGGTGTGGCACAATTTAATAAAACATTCAGTTGAATTATCGCTGGCACTTGATAAAAATCTAAGCCGTATTATACAGAGAAAATCTAATTTCTCGCGCAAAACTCGACGCACTTATTTTCAGGCGTAGTCTCGTGATTTTTATCCGGTCGAGCTCCGTGCCACTTGGATAAAAAAAAAAGGCCAAGAATTTGTAAAATAAGAATCTCGTGAACGCGATAAATCGTATCGAGGACCGAAGCCAATATGGTAGATGAGCGTTAAAAGTCGTGTGACCCAATTATAAGAAATAGTAGGCATAAATCACTAACATGTCTCTGGCATCCAGTGCCTTAGGTCGAGCGGTGGACGGATTCGAATGGACGCGCGAGGCCTGCACCGGAGCGCGCACCTCCGGCCTCCTCGAGCGCAAGCAGGCGAGGGCCTGTCGGGCAACCCCCGACATCATGCAGAACCTCGTTCAGGCGGCGAGGGATACATCAACCGTCTGCCAGCAGGCGTTCAGACACCAGAGATGGAACTGCAGCAGCATCGAGAGAGCGCCCGACTTTACGCCCGAATTGCTCACAGGTGACGAATCCCATGGTTGAAACAAAATCTCGAATTTCGGGCCGCGACGATCAAGAATCTTGGGTCGAACTATACCTTTAAAAATGGCTCGACTGATTGAAATTTCTTGCAGTTTGTCATAAGGACGCAATAGAGCTTTGATCGTCAGCATTCACGAAACTGGCATTTTTCACACCATCCGAGCATTATGAACCATTTGTGTCTATGCTTCATTTTTATAGTTTTTACAGTCCATCAATAATCACAACAATCCATTAGGTTAAACAATCTTATTCGAAGCTTAATCATTCAATCATAAACAAAAGCTAGAGTTATTATGATAATATGCAGCGCAAAATAATACAAAAAGTGAATTTGCTGTGAATGAACTATGAACTATGAAACTATTTCTAATATATACCGATATTAATTAAAGAGATATATAAATTCTTTTAGATTACAAATAAAACTTTCTTAGATCAAATTTTGTTTAGATGTGATCGTTTCTTTTACAATAGCTTACATAGTAAAGGATTTATATTGCTGCTGCTGTACAGAACGCTAGTAAATTCTGTTTTAATAGATTTTCAAAATTCTTTACTAATCAATTAATATTAGAATAAAAGCTGGAATAAATAATTATCTTATCCAGTGAATGAAGACTTTTATTTAATATATAAAACGATAGTAACGCAATCATTTTCTTCTTTTTTTTTTTTTTTTTTTTTTTTTTTTTTTTTTTTTTTTTTTTTTTTTTTTTTATACATGCGTTTATGTTTCACGCTCATATCCACACGTCCACACTCATACACAAACGATATAAATTAAAATTAATAATATGGATAAGAGTGACTTATTTTCACCGAATGCGAAGAAATGTTATTTTCTCTATCTACATGCTCAAAATCCAAATTTTTTCAAATAAGATAATCAATCATATTGATAATCATTTTAATTGTTTCCTTTTGAGTAACGTTTCTCTAAATGCATCTGTAGCTTGAACTTTTGTTTTTTTGTTAGCTAGTAAAGACGAAGTTTTATACTGCCCATAGATAGTGTAAGATTAAGCATACCTCGGACATTATAAGCATACGGGCGAATCAAAATCGTGCGTTAAAATTATAAATCGAATTATAAATAATAATACAGGAAAAAGTAATTGGGTGCTGATAAATTGTAAACAAGTTGAGTGCACCTAAAACATTTCGCATCAATGGCAATGAAATAATCGTCGCATTCGGTGAAAACTCGCCTTTAAACTCTTATCCAAAAGTTATAAGCGAAGAAAAGCGACGCTCGGGGGCCTCCACGTTCATCGGTGTAGGCCCTCGTTCGACATTCCCAGCGAATCCCGACCTGCCTCAGGTACGAAGGAGCAAGCATTCGTCTACGCCATGTCGGCCGCGGCGGCAGTCTGGCGTCTGGCGCGGGGCTGCGCCCTCGGCAACCTCGCCGCGTGTTCGTGTGCAACGCCCCCGCGGCGCGAGCCCCCTGCCCCCTCAGCCCTCGTCCAGGCCTCGACGTCCCTGTCGCCGACGGCGATTGGCTTCGGGCCCGCGTCCGCTCGCAGTGCCTTCAAGTGGGGCGGCTGCGGCGACGACGTGCGCTCAGCTTCGCGCATCGCCAAGCGCTTCCTCCAGGGCGAGACACCGAGCCCCGGCACTGGCGCCTCCGCCAAGTTCCTCCACGCCGTCAACATGCACAACAACCGCGCTGGCCGCAGGGTAGGTAGTCTCACTCATCGTAATAATAGCTTTACGCTTACGAGTAGATGGGGCCTCGACGACCATGGGCCTCGCTTGCTTTAGTCAGCTTGAGTCGACGAGAGTCGAGTTTAGGAAGTAGGAAAAATCGATAAATAACAGATCTTAGCCGATGTTTTTGCTTTCACCGTGGCTAGCCATTGACGGCCTTTTAAAATAAGATGTATACTTTTCAATATGAAACTTCCTTATTCTTGACACATTTCTTCTAATAGTCGAGTTATTTTTTTCTCTCTCGGATCGTTTGTGAAATGGCACTTGTAAATCCGATAATTTAAAATCCGACGATTATATTATATATTTATTGTAATTATTGCACGAGTCTAGTAAAATAATGCTTGAAATAAACATTATATTCTTACTACATTGAATACTATAACTAAGAAATCTATCCGCTCAAACGGATATCAAGTAAATGACGAAGAAAAAAATTTCATATTACAAAAGATGCAAATGTGCAGAGTACTAGTATTTTTCATTTATCCTGACAACGGTGTAAACATAATTTACAATATTGGTTAAGATGCTCGATTATCCATTAGCTATAAATCGAGAATGATTTATAAAATTGAATTAAAAAAGGAGAGCTTAATAATTCGAATAAGTACACAAAGTGATTAGAATTAATTCAACGAGTATTAAGCAATAAATTTAATATACGTTAGAATTTTATGTTACATTTCCATTTCCATAAATCATACTTAAGCGTCTGATTACTATTCTATATGCGCTCGCAATTGAAAATAATTGAATATAAAGTATTATGAAATGAAAAAAAAGAAAGAAAAAAAAGTGGCAGCGGTAGGTGCAAGGAAGCCATTTGTCGATTTGCAGTGCAGTGCCGTACGGCTCGCTGACAGGGCCCACCTGTCGTAAATAAAAAGCTTTGGAGTGACGCAATAAGACAATGTTGTTAATCATTTGGTACACACCGTACCGATGCACTAAGAACAAACATAACCGAATGTACGGCTTGCGGCTCTCGAGATGTCATTGGAATCCTGGTGCTGAAGCTCGGGGATAATGGGAGAATCGAAAATTAGGGATCTCAGGGTTCTCCGGCCTTCGAGCTCGGTATCACTGACTCTCTGGACACGATCTTAGGCAGTGGAGCAGTCGCTGTCGCTGGAGTGCAAGTGTCACGGGGTCTCGGGCTCCTGTAGCGTACGCACCTGTTGGCGAGGACTTGGCTCGAGCGGTCCGGCCGCAGCCGGGGCCCGACTACTGCGACGCTACGCGACCGCCGCGGAGGTGCGACCGACGTCCAGTGGGCGACTCCCGCCCCTCTATCATCACAACAACCTCCTCTACACGACCAAGAGTGCGGATTACTGCCTTGAGGACAAAAGGCGAGGAAGCCTCGGCACCGTCGGCAGGTTCGTTACACTCTTTATCTTTTCCAAATTAGCTACATTATCGTCCCCTTTATGCTCCTTATGCTTTTTATATCCACGCCTCAGTTGCTCCTAGCAACTGGGACTATGCGAAACAGAACAAAAGTTCTTTTGGAAGAATACCCAAAGGATTGGAAAGCATTTATTCACCTTACGATAATTTAAATTCGTATGCTTTGCGATTCATTTTATAATTTTTTATTACATTTTTTAATGATTTCGAAAATTAGAATTGGTCCGCTTTTTAAAATTTAAATTATAACTATAAATTGTATTTGTTGCGTTGTTGATTTGACAACAATTTTGGCTGGATTCTTCAAAATCTTTCTGTCTATATATTTTGTACTACTTTTCACGCGCAGACATCAAATAAGAAAGGTCATGGAGCTACTCCAATTTCTTTTATGGATAATGAAATGTTCCACAATATATTATTGAAATCTAAATTTGTATTTCTTTTAACTAGGAGGACTTATTGTTATTATTGTTATTGCTATTTATCTCCACTAGAATTTTTATAACGTTCATTATTGTTTTATAAAATAAATTTACCAACGTATTTTGAATACAGATTGTGAACATTAATTAAATTTTAAATTTCTTTTTATTGATCGAAATTATCCATTTTAACAGTAATTTCTGCATTTTTTTACATTATTATGTATTTTTCAACTTCTTCTACACTCATTACTTACTATTTAATATACTTTAGATTTATAATCGTTATATTTTATATTTTCTGTAATATAAACCTTTATAAAATACTTGCTCAAAAATTAGTTAAATTCATATTTTTAATACAAAAGATCCAAATAAATCTTGTATTCCTAAATCAATATTTTAGATCGTACAGCCTATCTTAAATCACATACAACTAATATATACTAGTTTTTTATTTGTATACAATAAAGAAACGATCAGAATTTTTATGCTTAATATCATAATGATATCAATGGTATATTATCTTGAAATAAATTATATTAAAGAAAATATTTCGTAGAGTATTTAATATAGCATATTGATTATATAGTAATTCACATCGATAATATTGTTTATATGACATTATCATCTTCGTCGTCATCATTATTCATGAAGGTCCTTAAAACAAATTTATTATTTTATCAATGTTTCTCAATTTTCAATAAGCCATAGTTTATTGTTAAATTGTTAAACGTTAATTTACAGCACAATATTTCATTGAAAAGTAAAAGATATCAATTACAAATACCGATTATAGTTTTTTCCTTTATTTTCGGAAAACCAAATAAAGGCATGCTGCATCAAATGTAAATTGGCGAATTCGTAAAGCTTCTTAAAGGCGTTTTAAATCAGTAATATCGACGCCGTTTATAATTGTAGGAAGGCTGCTTTGATGGCCATTTAGAGCGTCGCTACCGTTTCAATACCGATGAGCGTCTGGCTAACGAGAGCGATAAATTTATTAAAATGGCTAAAAATGAAGGTAATAAGACTAAATTCACGGCTATAAGATGGTGAGACTCGTAGTTGGTGCTTTCAGTGATGCTCTGACTACGAGCTCCCGTTTACTTCTCTTTATTTTGTGAATGTTGTAGTATAATGTCATAAAGCGGCGTTACTGTACCGATTGATTACCCTGCGCATCTAGACAATTCTATAACGAGCGGTAAATTCCGCAGGATGAGTGTGTATTTTTTGGCTATAATGTGACGCAGGACGATAGTACGAGAAATTAAGTTGAATTCAATTCAATTAAATTTAATTCAATTCTATTAATAGAAGATGATTACTTTTGCAATATTTGTAAATCAATAACCAAATCGATTGAGAATTCGACCAGCTTTATATACCTATTTTCGAGACTTTATTTTCTATTTTCTAGTCTTTCCCT